TCCCCATCCCCATCTCCTATAGCAGCAGGGGTCACCAAACTTTTTTTCACAGTGGGCCGGATAACTGAAAGAATGACGCGCGCAAGGGCCGCATAATAAATAAATAAGTATCCCTGGAGCGTCGGAACCTGTGTTGACAGCTGGAAAATCTGGGGACGGGAAAGATGCGTGTTTATGTGTGTTGCCATGGAAACCATGGTAAACGTGTTGCCATGACGTTGCCATGGAAACCATGGTAAACGTGTTGCCATAACGTTGCCATGGAAACCATGGTAACGTCAGAGCGTAGGCGGAGCTACCACGAGCCGGGGAAGTGCTTGGGATGGTGCGAAATAAACAAACGTTACAATAAACAAGAACATCTAGATACAATCATTAAAAATAGTACATTTAAGGCACATAGCAGTCAGGAGGTCTCCGCACGCGTGAAGATCTCATAGTATTCCAAACATAATATTTAAATTGTATCACGACGTCTCGTGTTCCATACGTTTTATCAACCAAATTCAAGTACCGTCGGCGGGCCCGATGGACTGACGTCTCGGGCCGGATTCGGCCCGCGGGCCGTAGTTTGGTGACCCCCGTCCTATAGGGATATCAGAGCTTAGGAAGGAGATACCAGACAGTTTCAACAGATTTACATTGCAACTGTAATCCGTAATGTGCGGTTGTGCTGGGTGTCAGCCTCCTTTCACGTCCATCTGTGTTGTGTACCTGAATCGTCGCGTTAATAGTAAAATCACACCGTGTGAACCCATACGGTTTAGCCGTATTCTTGTACAGGGAAATTGAGGTTTAGGTCCACAGGGCGTACAGCCGTTTCAATACGGGCAACAACAAAAAATTGTGTGGTCCATTTGTTTTTATCCCATGTGATGGGTCTTTGTTGGATGAACGTTGAGATTTGTAAGGGCTCGGGGTGACTAATCGATAAGGTCTGAATTGGTATGTAATAAGGTAGTCACTTTTCGATTTGAAGCTTTCGTGACTGCAAGGATTCATCTTCTTTGGTTCTTTCGGTAAAGTCACCACGTAGAATGAGAAAAAAATTATAAATTAATAAAATAACACAATAATATTCTCACGACGTTTCGGCCACAACGCAAGCGGCCGTCTTCAGGTGAAAGGTACCGAACTGCCGCTTGCGTTGTGGCCGAAACGTCGTGAGAATTTTATTGTGTCATTTTATTTTATAATTTTATTCTCATTCTACGTGACTTTACCGAAAGAACCAAAGAAGGTAGTCACTGATAAGGGGTTGACAAGTACGATTAAAATACCTTTGAGAGAAGGAACAAAAAAAACTCCCCCAGCTTAGTCAAACATGGCTCATAGTTGTGTGAACCAAATGTTATTTAATGGGTTTCACGAGTAGCTCTGCGGTGTCCACTTCCGCACATTTCCCCTAATCTGGGGTCGCCCCCCCCACCCCCACCCGCAAGGGCCGCAACCTGCAGGGGAATCGATGTAATCGATTCGGAGGAGTCGAATCGACCGCAACAATCACCACGATTTTCGATATCGCGACTAAAAAAAAAGGCGGGAAACGTCGCCGCTGACGGGGAGACTTTTTCGGCGGCGGGTGGAGGAGGTTTGTGGCTTCGAGCCGCGCGCTCTCTCGCTTTCTCTCTCGACATAGAGACAATCAGCCCTCGCGTTTCCCTCAGGGAATCCGTGCGAGGGTCGCCACTGCTAGCGTGGAGGTGGTGGTTGGTGGTTTGTGGTTGGTGGTGGATGGCGGCGGCGGCGATGAGGAGACGGCGCCTGGACGCCTGGGTCGCGGACAACCAAAGCGGCGTGCGCCGAGCCCGGGTAGGGACCTCGCGCGTGAAGTTCCTCATCGCGACGAGGTGTGGGGAGGGGGATCATCACCGTCGTCGTCATCACCGTCGGCCTTCACCGGTCGTGGTCGATTCGCTGCTTCAGCACGATTCGCGCTTCGCTCGGGAATCGATTCCATCCAGCCGCTGCGTGCAACAATTTGGCGTCTTCCTTTGTCTCGGCTCTGTTGACGTCCTGGGGTTGACGGGCAATGGACAATTGAATGCTCATTGAGTCATTCCGCGTGGGTTGCGTTATCGGAGGTGGCACAGGGAGCCCTGCAGAAGCTAAAACACACAGAGAGAGAGAGAGGTGGAGAGAGAGAGAGAGATGTGAATGATTGGATGCGTGGTGTGTGCCGGGTTTGGGGGAGATTTCCCCACGTGCGTGCAGTATACGACTCGCACACATTTAACAAATAAATAAACCTAAACGCATTCGTCAAATATATATTAAAAAAACTGGGTCTTAAATTATATATTAAAAAAAATATTGTACAACAGGCGACGTTTCGGTCAATGGCTCATCTTCACAGCGCACAAAACACGCTCACTCCACGTTTATATTGGCTACTATATATGGGGCCGTCCATAAATGACGTCACGTACCTAGCGGGGGGGGAGGGTCAGACGTCTGACGATGTGTGACGAGGGGGGTGGGGTTTGAGAAATGTGACGTCACATCAAAATACGCAACTTTATAAATAAATACAGACAACACGTTCTACTTAATTAAATAGGCTTGATTTAAAGCTTTCGTGACTGCAAGGATTCATATTCGTGGTTCTTTCGGTAAAGTCACCACGTAGAAGGGAAACAATACAATAATAAAAATATAAAAGAATAAAATTATCACGACGTTTCAATTGCAACACAAGCAATCATCATCAGGTGTGAAAACCACAGCAAGAAAATTTTAAAAAGTGGCGGTTTTTTAACGTTAGCACCACGGAGAGCGATTTCGTCTCCCCCCTCCTCTTTTCCGAACATAGATGGACTCTTTTGATTTAAAGGTTTCGTGACTGCAAGGATTCATATTCTTGGTTCTTTCGGCAAAGTAGAAGGAAAGTAATAAAAATATAAAACAATAAAATTATCACGACGTTTCGACTGCAACACAAGCAATCATCATCAGGTGTGAAAACCACAACAAGAACATTTGAATTTTCACACCTGATGATGATTGCTTGTGTTGCAATCGAAACGTCGTGAGAATTTTATTGTTTTATATTTTTTTTTTATTGTTTCCCTTCTACGTGACTTTACCGAAAGAACCAAGAATATAAATTAAATACGCACTACAATGGCAATAGTTGAAAGCAATTTGAAGCATGTTTTATTTGGGGGGGGGCAGAGCTTTGTGACGTCATATTTCAGGGGGGGTCTGACTTTTTGTGACGTCGTGTAACTAGAGGGAGGGGGGGGGGTCTAAAATCGTCAAAAATCGCGTGACGTCATTTATGGACGGCCCCTATCTCATTTGCAGTCTTAATTAACCTCTGGCCTATTAGCATCAATTTGCAATAGCGTGTAACAGTAATTGGCATCCAGTTGTATTCACCTCGAAAATATTCTTCCCCTACTGGGAAAACTTGGCAGGACCCTGTTGAAAAAGAGCATTGTGACTCTTCCGGCTAAACAAGCGTGGTAATGCGAATACAATGGAAGGGCCGGACCATGCACGTTGCCTGTAACCCAGCGCTGTGGAGACAGCGAGGGCTGGTGGACCACACACGGATCTTGTGAAACTCCGTTCCTGTGGGTGTCGAGGAGGTGCACGTGCCCTGGCTCGCCGCGAGATGGCGGTACAGCAAGTGGTGGACTCCCATCTGTTCCACCCGTCTGGGATAGAGCGTTGCTCCCCTCGCACGCCTGTTTTTTCTCCAGGTGCCCCGATTTCCTCCCACACGCCTATACACTCAATTGTGTCAAAATATCTGAATGCGAAGAGTAGGACTGCAGAGCTTGGACAATTGAACCTTATGGCGGGACCCCGGGGTCCCATAAGCCCCCGGCTCTCGCATAAACTGCGTTGCGACGTCATTGTATGTACATGTTGAAGGCGAACGATGCGGCGATCTGTACCTCTCGACGAGCTCTACACCGACGCGCTAATCAAAGTTTCAAAGTTTTGTTTCTTCTGCGCATTCGCCCTCGCCGCTGCGCTTGGACGTGACACGACAAGAGAACGATCCGCGCCAGGTGTGTCGCGGCGTTTATGATGTGCGCGGTGGGACGGAGTCGCCCAAAATAAATTAATTACGATTTTGACTTCCGTTTATTCGTGACCCCGGGGTCCCGCCATGAGGTTCAATTGTCGGTAGAGCCGACTCGCAGCGCGGCTGCTGCCTTCCTGCTTGTCCGCGCCTCCTCCGAGTCGTTCTCTCGTCGTTCTCTCGTTGAGCGTATGCTGTGCGGCGTGTTACGCGTTGACATCACGATACTGCTTGCAACATTTGCGTTGCTGCTGCTGCTCTCTCTCTCGCGACAGATGGCGCTGACCGCTTCTCCTCCACCTGGTGGACACATCGACCTGGGCCCTCACTGCTCCACGTTCACTCACGCACTCCAGCAGATACGAGGCAAGGCGACGTTCGCTTTGTACATTCGCGGGTAGGCCACTGAAACTCAATTTGGATCACTTGAAAGGCCACGTAGAATTTTTTTTTATAAAAGCGTAATATTGCAATGGTGAGTGGGTTTGCTTGGGTTTCTGTACTCAATGCGGTATTTGAAAAGTGTTCATTGTATTGTTCTTAGGTTAGTCCTTCTGTCAATCCACTGCTCGACCAGAGCCTCCCCACTTGCCGTGCGGTTTGTGAGGGTTATTTGACCACATTTATTCTGCATGCCGGCCTACCTTTCCAGGTCACTCTTGAAAATGAGGCTCTATTCTGGTCTGTTGTGTTCTCACCTGGTTAAACAAAATACACTTGAAACTTTAACCTCCGTTAGGCACTGCACTGCTCTTGAGGCGTATCATATAACCTATCGTGTGAAGCCTCCTAGTTGCCGGATTATAAGCATGCACCTCTGTGCCTAGAAATGAAATCCTAGGAAGGCCGGCTGAACAAGACTCTAATAATGATTTAATTAACCGATCATACCCTTTTGACTGAATGTGCTGTGGGGTGCATTTTCGCGCCTGTGTTAATTTTTGTCGCACCTATCCACAGGTCTCCCCGCCACCTCGGCCACGCTGCCAGTGGAACTTGACGTCTGCTTCAACGCGGTGTGTCTCTCTTCTTGTGCCGCACCCTTCTCCACCGAGGCCGATGAGGTGATCCGCCAGACACTCTCAAGAGGTGAACCTTTCTCCTTATTGCTGCAGTGGGTCCAATAAGACTGGAGGCAGATCGCTTGAGGCAACACGTTTATTTAATACAACTGCGTGATACACGGGTCCCTACCCGATACCTGGGGAGGTATAGCCGCCCGGGCTAGCGTGCCCTATCAACTGGGGCTACGTACTCTCAGCCCTCCGGCTAAGGGGTCCTAGGGGAGGCTAGCTGACCCGACCCAGCCAAGGTCCTCGGGTCCTGACCACTGGCCCACTCGGTCCCGGTCCTTAGAAGGACGTCGGGTCCGGGGGTTCCCAGGGTCCTAGCCTAGCTGGTCTTCTTTCTTCAGCTTGACGAAGGCTACCGGACTCGTCCAGAGGTCCGGCTTTTATACCCGTGCCAGGGTCTCTCCGCCCCTGGCCACACCCTCCTTCTGGAACTCTCTCGGGGGCTCTGGAATATCCCCCCAGCCCATCTCTTGGGGCTGGGAGAACATCGTGTCCCAATGGCCTGACTCATCCTACCCATCCTGAGTTAGCACCCCCTATGGACACGTCTACTACTACAGGTGAGTTTATACAATGCCTAACAATGACGCGATATACAATGTTTGTCAATGACGCTACATTGCTGTATCATTCACAGTTATACTGGTAGGAACCTCCTGGTTACACCAGCCCACAGGGGATTATTGTGTCTGTCCATCGTGCATCCAAAAATGGGAGGGGTGGGGCTGGGTGGAGAGGGGAGGGTGGGGAGGGGCTGGGTGGGGAGGGAGTGAGGGGCTGGGTGGGGAGGGGGTGGGTGGGGAGGTGCTGGTCACCCCGTGGTGCCCTTATAAAACTCAACGTTTAACCTACTCACGCCGGCTTGTGCCCGCCCTCACAGTCGGGCATATTTGCGGAGTACACCACGTGGTGCCGCCGTTGACCCTGGCCATTGACCGAGCAACCCAACGTTCCTACCAGCTCCCTCCGCAGGAATGTGTTGTGCAGTGGAGGGTGAAAGCAACAACCCGCTCCTCAGGCTTTCCAGCTCTAGGTAGCGCTTTCAGGTTACGAGGTAATTTTCCATTGGTAGGATGTATGTAGCGTCTCAGTATAACAGGTCTGATCTTCTTGTACGCACACACTGCACATGTTATATGACGCTGAAAAACACGGATTTAAAGCAGTTGCCTTCCCAAACCTGAACGATGAGCTTGTGTGAATGATGTACTGATTTAATGAGGAGCTGACAAGCCACGTGGTGCTGTGCCATCAAGCTAGTTTGCTTGCAGAATAATTTTCACATCCGCGTGGGAATTTATGAAGGGAATTACCAAAGTGTTCTACAGTAAAACCTTGGCTTGCGAGCATAATTCGTTCCGGAAACGTGTTTGTAATCCAAAGCACTCGTATATCAAAGCGCTCGTATATCAGTTGTGATCAAGTGACGCTCGGCAAACAAAGCGTGTATACGTACTACTCGTATTGCAAGACCTCGCTCGTTTATCCAATTTATATTTATTTAAAATGTTTGCTCGTCTTGCAAAACACTCGCAGACCAAGTTACTCGCAATCCAAGGTTTTACTCTGTATTTAAATTTACCACAGTGATAGCCGCTGCAGCCTTCGTCCGTCTTCACAGCCGTTTCGGCCCACAGTCCCTGCCTGTTCTGCCGTTAAGGACTTCTTGGATTGCTTTTAGTCTGGAACCTCCCCTTTGACCTTGCCGCCATGGGGATGGTGACCCTACCAGGAGCACGAGGCTCCCGACAGCTTCGCTCTCGGGATCACTGGAACACGCAAACCTCTCCACCACAATAAGGTGGCCATCCTCGGAGAGGACCCATCGATAGAGGTGTAATGATTGAATCGTTCCAGCAATTCCACAAATTGCCGTGATTCACATTCACTATTTGATTTTCTAATTCTTTTTTTAACCCTGTGTTGAATGCAATGGCCACTGGTGCTTGCAGGGGTCACGTGTACCCATGGCAACATACACATCAACTCTTACCACGTGTGATTGGCGGTTTATGTGGCGCACAGTCCTGCAGGTGTCCTGCACCAGGGTTGAGGCGCCGTTTGAGGTGGACGCATGGTCGGCCGCGATGAATTGGGCAGCAGACAGGGAGGCAGCACGGGGTCTGGGCCAGTTGCTCACCTTGCAGGCCTTTCTCTGGCTGCTCCGAAAGGAGGTGGAGAGGGCCACTTCTCTGCTGTCGCTTACCAAGAAGGTTGGAGTGAAACGTTTGAGTGGGATGTCATGGAATGGCGAGAACGGTGTCACGACGATACAGTTATAAGTAAGAAAAAGGCCGTGATAAATTTCGGTACATTTCAGGGCATATCATTGCTGGCATTCATCACCGGTGGAAGTTGCTGCGCATTTTTTTTTATTGTAAAACATATATTTACCCAAATCTAGACAAATGTGATCTTTGGACCCTCTAGGTGGACAACTGGGGATGTTAACTTCCAATCAGGTCACGTACACAAATCACGTGACTACCTGAGGTTGTGTGCTCTGCAGAATGGTGATTGTTCACACTTTTTACTGAACTGTTTTCATAGGCCAGACATAACTCCATCACTCGATGCCTTTACCATGTTCATTTACCAAAGTTGTTCACAGTAAATGTGTTGCTGTTGATATCATCATCCTCATCTATCATCATTCGGCATGTAGCGATGCTTCTCTTAAAATGTATTCTTATACACTTGACACATGCTTCAAAGTGCGTATGTGAGGATTGATTAATTATGCTATATGTATATTATATGCAGATACATTTATGCGTAGGGAGTCAACAGAATTGTGCAGAAGAAACAGAGCAATTATACAACATTACAAATGAGACCATAAAAACTAGGTAAAATAATTGATACCGAAAATGAATCATTGCCAAAAATTGTGACAACTCATCAAATACCTACATGGATGAACCGCTCAATGCCAAGTCGTCATGAATAGCATCATCATCATCAGCTTTGTAGATGCAATGCTGTGTCTGTTTCCATGTTGAACAGGCTGAGAGTATGGAAGGAGTCTCGGACAGCAACAATGTCTCAATGGAGTCACCCGTGGCATGTGTACCAAGTGGCCCTCTCCAATATCAGTCGTCTGGTGTCAGCCACACCGTCCTGGACCCCGAGAGCATAATTCAGGCTCTGTCAACATGGGAGGCTCTCATGAAAGGTGAGAGTGAGTTGTGTATCTAGTGTTATTCAATGGCGAGACTAGTGACATGGATGCTTGTACACTGCATTAGATTTCACGGGTCTTGGGTTTGATTTTATTTGTATGCATTGTTCGTTCGTTCATTTCTCAATCCGCTTGTCCTGGTGAGGGTCGCGGTGGTGGCATATTGAGTAGGGACAGTCCAGACCTAGAAATTGATATCTGAATCCATAGACACCCCAACAGTGTGTGTGTGTGAAGAGGGCAGTACCCTCAAGCACACCTCGAGAGGGAGTGAGGATTTGAGAAATGGTTTGGGGAGGTGCAAAATTAAGTTGCTAGTAACAGATTAAATAAAACCCCTCCAGCGTGAGTTCAGTGCTTGGGGAGGGGTGTAATTTTTGGAGCGGTCTTGGGTGCACCAACACCGTTGCATCCCACTATCTGAACTTATACCCACGATCTGAATTTATCCTGGGCCTCCTCTACTTGGCCGGCATTGTGATATTGTAATACATGCCAGACTTGATAGGTATTTGAGCATTTGCTTCAATCATCTGTTATGGGTTATCAGTCCATCTTGATTTAATTTGGGTTGGTTAGAGATATGTATTTTTGTGCATCACTGTTGTTATTCAATTCCCACTGAGATGTATCTGTTTTGAAAGGGAGACGAGACTAGTTACAAAACGAGTTATTACAGCTTTTTTAAAATTGTTGGAACCAATTTCTATTTGAGCTTATACAATAGCCTAGAGTTATTTGGTGCTATATCATAGGCTCACAGCAAAATCCAAATTGAAAATATACAAATTGCAAAGCCTTAATTCTTACGCCTCTGATTAGCGTGATTGGCGACGTACAGTGTGAAAGAAGTTCAACATATACACGTGCATTTTGAGCGTAAAAATGTCATTCGAATGACAAATCGGCGCAACCGTGCATAACTGTGCCACACATTGAACTGTGCCACACATTGACCTGTGCCGTAGGTAATGCGCTCTGTGTCGAGGAGAAGTGGCTGGACGCTTTGGACATTCTCGAGGGAGTTTCCCAGCGCTGCACGTCCCGCCGATTCCTGGCCCTGGCGCAGAACCTCATGGCTCGCTGCTTTCATTCCCTCGTGAGTGATGCCCAGGCCCTGTCTAGGCGGCCACTATCGCACTTTGTAGATCGGCACTGGTAAATCAGCTATATTCACTAATGTAAACTAAAACTATAAACTATTTTAATGTTGCCATATAAGGCCCATTGGGCTATATAATAAAATACAATTGTAAGTAGTAAATAGTATTTCTTGGTCCTTTCGGTAAAGTCACGTTAGAAGGGAAACAATAAAATAATAAAAATATGAAAATAAAATTCTCACGACGTTTCGACTGCAACACAAGCAATCATCATCAGGTGTGAAAACCACAGCAAGAAAATATTATTGCTGTGTTGCAGTCGAAACGTCGTGAGAATTGTATTTTTTTATTGTTTCCCTTCTACGTGACTGTACCGAAAGAACCAAAGAAGATGAATCCCTGCAGTCACGAAAGCTTGAAATAAAAAAAATAGTAAATAGCACTCACAGTTGAGCTGTGTTCACTGTTGTACTTCTCGAGAGGTAAAACCGTGAACAAAACAGAGTGAAGGAAAGACAACAACAGCGGGAATGAAACGCAAGAGCGACAGGACGACACGGAGACACACAAATCTCGTACCACCTGCTAGGCGTGAGCGTGCACTGCAGATCTAGCTGCTGAAAGAAGTTGCGTGGATTCAATGTTATTGTTTCGCTGACCTGGTGCGGCTTTTAATGCAAAATCCGGCTAGCTGGGGTTTTACTCTACGTTGTAATTTGCTATTGCCAACCTTGCAGCTTGTACAGATGCGGTATGCACCGCAATAATAGAAAGCGATTGATTTTTTAAAAGAATCGTGACCAGAAATTGCGACATTTAATCGAAATGCAGGGGGGTGAATTATTACTGCATAATATCTACCTGTTAAGCATTGCAAAGCATGTTTTTTTTTTCTCTCCATTACTTCGTCTGGCCAAAATATGCTTAGTTGAAGGTCAAATACTACCATCTGTGACTATAGCCTATGCATAGCTGAGGAATGTTCTTCTGGCCAAAATGTTAACTTTTATATTCTAAAATACTTAATCGCCTCGACATCTGCCCACCTTGGCATTCACATTATCTGTCGTGCGCAAGGTGCCGAGGACTTTAAAAATTATCCGTGCGACTTGTGGCCTACCCCGCAGGGAAAAGTTAATCTGGCCATGGTGCTCTACAGACGCTGCGTGGAGACTGATGCACGCCATCTGTCGGCGATCTACGGGCTCTCCCTGCTCTTTCGTCGGCTCGGAAGGGCGAGCGCAGAGCTCCAGGCACTGGTTCTGCTCTCTAGCGTAAGCACCTCTTGCCTCTTTGGGAGCTTCCACCTTAATCTGTGGCCCGCAGCTGTATCGCACATAAGTGGCACGTTTAACTTCTGTCGCACCGTACGTAGCCAACCGTGCTCATCGTAGGTGCGGGGGAAGGACAACAAACCAAACGCAAAAAGCAGTAAACAAAAAGTTTTCAATCTAGATTTAAAAGTGCATAGCTCCTGTGGCTTTCGAATACCATGCGATGAAGATGTTCACTATCATCCACCGTCAATCATTGCCACGCGAGGTGGCAACGATCTAGCGACGTTGATGCAGTGTGGGTAAGTCATGCAGTGCTGTAATTACGATGTGTATCTCACACCCAGCCTCGGTGTACCAAAGCGGTGTCGTGACAGCAGTACAGCAAGCAGGCTTCAGGCAAGCCACGGTCTTGAATTCTGCTGACAACGTCGTGCTCCTGAGCCAGCAAGGGTGGCCGGCAGAGACTCCCAGTGAGCACGGTTGGCCGCCGACACTCTTTGAGTTGTCTCGGATAGTGTCACGTGGTCTAGCTCCTTCGGTTCTTGCCGGTGGGGGGTGGGGTGGCAGCCACGGGGGCACTTCCAGCCCAGGCCAGGCTTGATCTCGCCCCGTTCTAAATTCATGTACGGTCTGTCTTAATCTGGCGGGTCTGTTCCGTTCACAGTTACCTGTAAGGATCACAAATACGCCCTGGGGTCTGACTCTTTGGTGCAGCCAATGAACGCTAGCTAGGAATCTTAAATAAGCCTCAGTTTGGCTGCTTGAGTCTTGAGATTCCGTTAATCGATAATACTTCTAACCACACATTCATTGGCCCGAGCATTCCCATTGAATCTAAGTAGACCAATATTTACATACATTTGGCTATGTGAGTATTAAGTATTTTATTGAGTTCTGTCCTCAATATTATAATTAATTGGCATAATAAATATATAATTACATAATGAAGCACATTGTAATTTTTTGTATTTTAATAATCCTTTCATTACTCCTCTCAATATGTAGTCTTCTTCAGCATAGTTTGCTCCTGTCTTTGATATTCATCATAAAAATTAAGTACTCTAACATCATAAAAATTGACTACTCTATACAATAAAAAAACACTGGCCATCTAAATGTCTTTACAGTACTTTGTATTCATTGATGAATGGGAATTTGCCTGTGGGTGAGTTAATTAAATATTCATGGTTTACACACGTGGTGTTATTCATATTAATGAGCTTGGAGGTTGATTCTTAGGGCTGTTTATCATCTGCTTGTGCACACTCGATGTCACTGTCTCACACCGCACTTGCTCAACATTTGGTTATTTATCTAATATGTTTGTTTACCCAGGACAGCCTGAATCTCACGACTCTGCCAAGTTAAATTTTCACATTGCATGTGAAACCAATCTACTCACATGCTCACACATTGACCTTAAACATCAATTTTATACCTTTAAAAATTAAATCTGAAAACTATGTATGTATGTTGAACTTCTTTCGCCCCGTACGTAGCCAACCGTGCTAATCTGAGGTGAGGAACCAGAAGTGTGGTAACTCGGGTTGTTTGTGTGTGTGTCATCCTGCGTGTGCATGGCCCAAGCGTCGTGGTGACGTCACCGCCACTTAGTGGCGAATGGCGGTTGTCACTGTTGTTGTTGTGCATGTAACAGGCTACAGGTTTACAGGCTGCGGAGAAAGAGGCTGAGGATATGGGGGGAGACTCAGTTTATTTGTTGGGGCAGGGCCCAGAGGCGTTGCTCTGCCAGTCAGTTGTACACGTTGCTGAGCACCTGGAGCCCACTGGAGCACTTTACCTGTTAGCCAGCAGAAGCCGCCAGTTGCTCAGGCGAGTGCACAACCTATGCCTATTACTGCGTGAAAGTTCACGGTTATGTACGTTTAACTTTTTTCGCACCGTACGTGCTAATTGGTGGGTGAAGTGCAAAGTGCTTTCCTCGTATAAGACCATAAACTTCGTTTTGGCATGCGGGTCATCTGGTGACTGATAAAAAATTATATCCTGAGGATAATCACGCATCAGTCTCAGTGGCAATAGGGTGAAAGGCTTCGAGATGGGGTCGTGGTTTCCACTTGAGTGATGTGATAATGTTTTATTTTAATAATTCAGTGTCGATCACGCTGATAAAGTATTGTCAAACTGCAATTATATACCACTGACAATTGTATACAGATTTTATATGCAACACACACATATAGTAAATGGTAAATAAATGAATGTGGAATAATATTTGACAGTGTAAGATTCCATATGTAAGATTCCAGTCAGGTTCATTCGTACAATGTATTATGCCACATGTAAACATTAAGTGCAATTTCATAACTTTGGAAGCATTCTCTTTGGTTCTATTCGGTAAAGTCACGTAGGTAAAAAATAAAACAACACAAATCACGACGTTTCGGCCACGACACAAGTGGCCTTCATCAGGTGAAGGGACCGGACTGTCCAGAGGACAGCGTTGGAGTGAAGACAGCCAAGCCCAGGTCGCGTCCTTTAAGCTGTGTGGGAGGAAACAAAAAAAAAACGCCTTGACAAAGGAATTAGCATACAATGATGTACTACTGTGAAAGTTTGGGATACCACTACTTGAATAAATATACTGTACCATTGAAAATTATTTAAATGTTTGGTTTGATTTAGAACATCTTTCCAATGATTGCTTAATTTGAAACCATCCTCTCGGTTGAAATGGTGTCTGTGTTTGTAAATCTGAATTGCCTCGTGGACAGATCTCTGATAAAAACCCGTGGGTTTGCAGAGAACCTTGGTATCGGAGAAAACTATATCGTGGTCACCCACAGCGTTGTAACGGTGATCAGCTACGGCATAAGAATGTTCTGTTTGAAAGGAGACCTGATGGCTCATTGGGACATTCTGTCTACAGGAAACCCACCCACACAGATTCCCACTTGAAACCTGATTCCCACCACCACCCGACTCAAAAGAATTCTCTCATCAAAACATTATACCACAGGGCTCATTGCATTTCGAACCAACACCACATGACCACTGAATTAAAACATGTACATCTGGCCCTCAAGAGGAACGGATACTCTGACCGTACCATCCGCCAAGCTGTTTCTCCCTCCATACAGAAACAACCACTTGATACTCCAATCAAAACCATCACACTACCATATATAGCAGGTGTTACTAAAAAGATCTCCAAAATTCTAAACAAACACCAGATCCTGGTCCGGTTCAATACAGTACACAAAATCCGTGACCTGATCCCATCTGTGAAGGATGTCATTCCTGACTTACAGTACCCCGGGGTTTACAAATTGATCTGCACCTGTGGTGACTGCTATATCGGGAAGACGAAACGACATGTCTCTGACCGAATTCGCGAGCACAAATCAGATTTGAAACACGGCAGAACGAATTCTTCTGCCGTAGCTGATCACTGTTACAACGCTGTGGGTGATCACGATATAGTTTTCTCCGGTACCAAGGTTCTCTGCAAACCCACGGGTTTTTATCAGAGATTTGTCCACGAGGCAATTCAGATTTACAAACACAGACACAATTTCAACCGAGAGGATGGTTTCAAATTAAGCAATCATTGAAAAGATGTTCTAAATCAAACCAAACATTAAAATAATTTTCAATGGTACAGTATATTTATTCAAGTAGTGGTATCCCAAACTTTCACAGTAGTACATCATTGTATGCTGATTCCTTTGTCAAGGCGTTTTTTTGTTTCCTCCCACACAGCTTAAAGGACGCGACCTGGGCTTGGCTGTCTTCACTCCAACGCTGTCCTCTGGACAGTCCGGTCCCTTCACCTGATGAAGGCCACTTGTGTTGTGGCTGAAACGTCGTGATTTTTGTTGTTTTATTTTTTTACCTACGCGACTTTACCGAATAGAACCAAAGAGTGTGGATCCTTGCAGTCACGAAAGCTTCAAATCTCGAATTGAATTTGGAAGCATTGCCTCATGTGCGGCATTCTGATTACGTGAATGTACATCGCATGTCGGTTCTTGCCAGGTGAAATAGTCTCGGAATGAACATTGACGCTTGCGGTTAATCATAGGACAAAGAGAGCATGCACACTTTTCTGTTGTGCAAATATCCGTGATGAACCCGCCTAATAGATCTCACTTTGTCGTGCAGCTGCATTGAGCACAGGTAACAGCGTGCTCGAATTATCTTCGATAAGACTAGGAGGCAAATTTAAGTAATATGCGGTACATCAATTTACTTGAACTTTGGTCACGAAAGGCATAAACCCTTCCGACATGAATTACGTAAGATTTTAATTATTTTTGCAGACTACTGACCGAACCTTAGATGGCTAATGTGGCAAATGTGTGCTGGCTGTGATGAGGTTCTCAGTGACGGCGCCTTCCACAAGAGTTGAACCACTCACAAGGGCTCTTTGTCTTTGTTATTGGTGTAGGTTGGAGGAAGCGGTAGAAAGATATGAAGAGTTATTGGCTCTGCTGTCAGATTCTGCTGCTGTGCAGGTATAAGTATCTTAATTTTCTCTTGTTTACCAGACGTCCAATGCAACATGTTGAATTTGGTTTTTAACCATCGGCTAATTTTTCCTCAATTTAAAATGACCCTTTCAACTGTATAGCTGAGACTGCACAACATGTTTATTCCCTCTACGATATTTCTTAACATGACCAGTGTTTAAATTGTCAACCCTTTTAGGTAGAAGACGTAGGCCTGACCGTTCCTAGGATCCCTGCATTGTACCTTGAACTAGCCTCTACCTTTCTGCATCTGAGGAAACACGACAGAGTTATTGCAATTTGTGACGATGTAATCAGCAAAACCAGCTGCACGATCCCGCAAAAGCTGGTTCTGGATATGAGGAGAGGCTCCGCAGAAATGGTGCTCCATGTTGCCCATTTGAACCCTCCCCGGGAGGCAGAAGACCCTGTCCTTTCAGCTTTTTTCAGAGATTCACCCGGAGGTGAAAATTCAAGCTACCCACAAACAGTAACTTGGGACATCGGCAACAGTAGTGTCTGCTCTTTTGCAGATTCGAAGCAGGTGAGAACTTGGAATATGTTTGACTTGTGTTTATAGAACGATCAAAAAAACGATGCCCGCTAAAATATTTTTATGCTTATATACGGCCTTCACCATCAGCGTGGACGTCTCGCTGAGCCAAGTGTACCTCTTTTGCATGCTTATATAACTATATAAGCATGCAAAATATTGCAATTATTTCTAGCACGGAAACTGATGTCATTTTATGTTATAAAAAAAAAGTTTGCTGGCTGGATTCCGGGCCTGGGTAGCCGGCACGCGGTTAGGTGCCCGTGCGTGGCGATAGTGACGTCACCGTGTACATTTGCGTGATCATGTGACCCACATCCCACAGCGTTGAGCCAGGTTCGTCCGTCGCGCTTACATCACGCCTCCCCCACTGACCCTGCATCGTGGCCATTTGTGCGGGATACTGTCAAGCCATCATATCAAATACTATATTAGGCAAAAGTTTTGCTCGCTGGCTGGCTGGCTGGCTGCCTGGAGGGATGGATGGAAAGGTTCAAAGGACGTGCGGGGCTGCTGTTCTCGTAAAATAAAACGTTCAAAAGTCATACTTTAAAGATTAAAAAAAGTCACGTAACGCGAAAGACGAAAACAACCGTTGTAACGACCCCAACAAAGACCTGCAGAGAATGCCAACAGCAATATAGCGACGACGTATGATTTCATTCATTTCAGGATTTGGCCGACGTGAGGTCGCGTGGGCGGTTGTCCGGGCGTTGGGCCGAGTTTGGCTGGCTCTGGGGCGACGAGCGGACGACAACGTTGCCCGCGGGAGGAGGCGCCCGCTTCAGCATGGGGAGCCACCGCGTGCGGGAGAGTCTGCACGCCGCCCTGTGGACGGTGTCTGCGCGGGTCCTGCGCGCAGCCGCGCTGCTTGGGCTCGGCAAGGCGGACGAGGCCCTCCGGGAATTCGACAGGTGTTGGTGGTCGCCGTGTGGCGCCGCTTTCTTGCTTGCCTTCTTTGAAATCGCGTCGTCGTCGTCGTCGTCGTCGTCGTCGGGAGGTTACCGACAGAAGATCGGAGACCGTCGGCGACTGTCGTGGAAGGCAACCGCCGTTACTGGAGCAATATAGACCGTCTCTTTCCACATACCTAGATTAACGCGCTTTTTGCCCCTGTGTTTGTTTGCGTCCTTGTTCCACAGCCCAAAGAGGAGCACGTAATGCGTTTTGTTAATTGCCAGAGGGAAACTTCAGTCTACCCCAAGACATGAGCGGATGGGGATATAGCGCGGTTCATTTTCTATAAGCCAATTTGGCTGCCAGTAAGCTTACAAGCAGAGTTGAAAGGTGGGAGCAGCGAAGCAAATGTGCAGAGATCAGCCGTGATAAATGGCTGATGTTGAATTCCGTACATGGATTGTCTTTCATTCCCCGTGTTTGTTGCTGGTTGCCTCGGTAGCCTGTGGGTTTTTGTTGCGTTAAAATCCTCTGTCTCTTCACATGCACGCTTGTGCGTTTTCAGGTCGACCGATGAGCTCTTCAAAGTTACCGTCATTCCCAGCCCACTTAACAAAGGTACGCTTCGTATTGGCAGTGGCTATTAAGTAAACAGGGTTCCACGTACCTTGCATAGTACGTGCATTTAGCCAGGCTATAATACAGCCCAAAGTTAACCTCGCTGCATTGACTCGATGTACTGGCGGGTGGGGCATTTCCGCGAGCATGCAGAGGTCGTGCCCTGTCTCGCATTAGGTAATTGATAAAGAGTACATGCAGAGAGAGCTCCACCAGCTGCGAGTGGTCACCGGACATGTCAATGGTACCCTCTGAAAATGACATTGCACTGCCCTGTACAATGAAACCTTGGATTGCGATTAACTTGGTCTGCGAGTGTTTTGCAAGACGAGCAAACATTTTAAATAAATATTAATTTGATTAACGAGCGAGGGTCTTGCAATACGAGCAGTACGTACACGCTTTTGTCTGCCGAGCATCACGTGATCACAACCGAGCCAATGGTTCTTCTCTCTTATTCGCTGTGGGATTGTGGGTAATCGTCTCCCATGCTCGGTCTCAGTCGGCGTGCCTCACTCATATAGTCAACATCCGTGCGAGCGTATACTGTTTACTATAGTACTATAGTGTTGTGACCACGTGTATACTGTTTACTACAGTACTATAGTGTTGTGACCACGTGTATACTGTTTATTACAGTACTATAGTGTTGTGACCACGTGTATACTGTTTACTATAGTACTATAGTGTTGTGACCACGTGTATACTGTTTACTACAGTACTATAGTGTTGTGACCACGTGTATACTGTTTACTACAGTACTATAGTGTTGTGACCACGTGTATACTGTTTACTATAGTACTATAGTGTTGTGACCACGTGTACACTGTTTACTACAGTACTATATTGTTGTGACCACGTATATACTGTTTACTACAGTACTATAGTGTTGTGACCACGTGTATACTGTTTACTACAGTACTATAGTGTTGTGACCACGTGTATACTGTTTACTATAGTACTATAGTGTTGTGATCACGTGTATACTGTTTACTGCAGTACTATAGTGTTGCGACCACGTGTATACTGTTTGCTACACTATAGTGTTGTGACCACGTGTATACTGTTTACTACAGTACTATAGTGTTGTGACCACGTATATACTGTTTACTATAGTGTTGTGACCACGTGTATACTGTTTACTACAGTACTATAGTGTTGTGACCACGTGTATACTGTTTACTACAGTACTATAGTGTTGTGACCACGTGTGTGTGCGTAAATCTTGTTTTTATTTTGTGTCCAAGTGTAGTGACTGTTCTTTAGTAACTGTACTGCAAGTGAAAGTCGTCCTAGACAATAACCCTCCTCCTCTATCTCGTCTCCCTCACACCAGCCACGATTAAATGTAATTAAGAAATTTGATTACTTTATAGTACATTTAAATAATACAAATATAAAAAAAAGTATTTTGTATTAATATTTTTTATATGAATACAGTCTTTTTGGGTTGTGGAACGAATCATCTCAGGTTCCATTATTTCTTTGATATACGAGTGCTTTGGATTACGAGCACGTTTCCCGTAACAAATTATGCTCGCAATCCGAGGTTTCACTGTAGTTGCCTCCTTTTAACACGTTTTTTTTGCAATAGCATATCGGGAGTGCCGTGTTGTCTTTAATGTGATACAAAATTGTTACAACGAATCGCTTGCGGACTCGAAAAAAAGTTTTGCGATATCGGTGGTTTTCGCTATAACATGTTATAATTACAATATGAACTGGGGCCTTTGAAAAACATTAATGCGTCGCTGAGTATATATGTGTAAGTGTGCATTTGTACAGGTCTGGGAGTCATGCACAGGTACGTGTTTACAGTATTCAATGTACTGCCTAGTGACTAGTGTAATAAAACAACGATGATTGGATGTTTGACAGCCCGTACGATAGTTAACCTCGTGGCCGCTGATGTGAGGTATAAATCAACGCGAGCAACCCGTTCCTCCTGCAGCTACGTTGTAAGCAGGGGATCGTGATTAAGCGTGGGTCATAATAATGAGTTATTACGAGCTAGTTATTAACATCCTATAGTGGCGAGATGTTAACTACCTCGCCTGGTGTACGGGAGGTCGTGGGTTCGATCTCAACCCTTGACGCCTGCTGCTGCTGTATATTTGGAGTTTGCATTTTCTCCCCATGGTCGCTATGATTTGTCTCCAGATCCTCCGGTTTTCCCCGTCCACATTTAGAATCGTGCGTTTAGAGCGTTTGGATGCTATAAAATTCCACATGGTAAGCCATTTTGTTGAGGTATCAGTTGTGGCCAGGTCGCTTCTGAAAAAGAGCTATGTAGTCTCATCTAAAAAAATAGTTAATTTTCTTTATTTAATACTGTACACCAAAACCATTTACAAAGAAGGAACTTCATAATAAAGGTTTTTGGGTTAGATCGCGTTTATTTATAAATGTGTCGTAACCCTCCACCACCCGACACGGCCAATCAGCAAAAAAAAGTGTCACGTTGACAAAAGACAAATAATTCACTACTTTAGCCCACCGGTGGGTTGAAGAGTGAATCCACATTTACATTTTGAGTACGACGTTTTGCTGGATGTATTTACCAGCGAAACGTCGTACTCAAACTGTAAATGTGGATTCACTCTTCAACACACCGGTGGGCTAAAGTAGTGAATTATTTGTCTTTTGTCAACGTGACACTTTTGTTGCTGATTGGCCGTGTCGGGTGGTGGAGGGTTACGACACATTTATAAATAAACGCGATCTAACCCAAAAACCTTTATTATGAATAATTTTGGTCGCGAAAGCCTACGTGTTAAACTGAAAGAAGGAACTGCTACGTTGAAATTTATTCCCGTTTAAATCTGAGTCTTAAATTTCGATTTAAAGCTTTCGTGACTGCAAGGATTCATCTTCTTTGGTTCTTTCGGTAAGGTCACGTAGAACGAGAATAAAATAATAAAATAACACGATAAAATTCTCACGACGTTTCGGCCACAACGCAAGCGGTCGTCTTCAGGTGAAAGGTACAGACCTGTCGGGACGACAGAGCTCTGTACAGACCCGACAGGTCTTTACCTTTCACCTGAAGACGGCCGCTTGCGTTGTACAGACTTGTCGTCCCGACAGGTCTGTACCTTTCACCTGAAGACGGCCGCTTGCGTTGTGGCCGAAACGTCGTGAGAATTTTATCGTGTTATTTTATTAATTTATTCTCATTCTACGTGACCTTACCGAAAGAACCAAATAAGATAAATCTGTGTCTTGTTCGGCTCCCCAACTACAAAGTGTTGTGACAGACTGCGAACGAATCAGGGAACACGTTTCCAGACGTGGGCCTTGCACAGCTGATTGTTGCGTGCGGTTAACGGCCTTAGATGCCACTGTTGCCCACGTATGACATTTCGTGCAGATTGCTCCGTTCGGCGGGAGTTGCCACTGGAAGAGCTGGCACTGAATCTTCTCAAGAGCCTGGTGTTTGATGGCATCGCAGGATGCTTGGAGACCATGGGCAGGGACACAGATGCACTGCAGTACTACTTGTGCAGCCTGCAGGCGAATCCTGGTGGGTCCCAGCACCATTTACTCTTCCTTCTGATATTAGGAAGCCACTGAAGAAATGCACTGTTAAATTTAGTTTAGTTTATTGTCCTTCCCCTGCACCTCCGATTAGCACGGTTAGCTACGTACGGTGTGAAAGAAGTTCAACATATATACATACGTACGAATACTAACCATTTCTTCGCCTCCTAGGTCTGTATTATTAACATCTACATACTCATGGCTTGTGGTCAAGTTCATATTATTGTGGTGTACTTTGTTCCAATACAGTTTTTTTTTCTCAGTCATCATAATGTAAAGTGTTTGGTCATTCCCACAGTGCCACATCTCAGATATGTTCTCTACACAATCGCCATTGACACTGATTAATCCTGTTTGCTAAATTGTATTCCCACCAATCACTCTCTAATTGTGATGTGTATGCCCATTGCAAGTAAGAGGAAATCCACTCCTGCATGTAGTTATCAAAACGGTGTCACGCACGATAAGTACAACTGTACTTTTTCCACCAAAGTTGTTTTGATTGCAGGCATGGAGTATAACAGTCTCGGTGTAAACGCTTTAATCCAGAATTGGATTGACTGTCTGGTGATATAAAAAATGAGGCATAATTTAAAAACAATTCTGACCTGACCACCACAACTGAAGACCTCTATGCCCTTGCAATGCCACATTTGGCACATGTATGTATAGTATGCGTGTGAGCGTGCGAACCGTCTGTGGGAGCGGTAGTGTAACGGTTTGCGCGCTGCGCTATGAACCCGGCGGCCCGCACCAGTAACGATTATCTGAACTGGTTCTGGGCCTCCCCTAGGTTGATTCAGCGTCAAATGAGGACCTGGTGCGTTGTGCAAAACATCAGCACTAGCGAGACAAAGGCGGCCGGATATGGTATTGGCTACCGACCCTCTCGTGTGCTGTGCCGGCCTTCATTGGTGCTCGCTAACAGCACTCGCCCCAAACAGTGTTAAGGCTCTACGGGGAATTTTTGTCCTTATAGTGGTTAATAGGCTGTGCTACGAACCCAGCGACCCGAATTCGATTCCTGCTCATGGCCAATACCAGTGACGATTATCTGAACCGGTCATGGGCCTCCTCTAAGTCGACTCAGCCTCAAATGAGTAGCTGGTGTGACGTGTTAAACATTGCTACTGGAGAGACAAAGGCGGTCAAGTATGGTCCCGGCCACCCACCCCTCATGTGCCATGCCGGACTTCATTTCTTGGAGAAGTCAATGTCATGTGAACCTACTGAATTATAACAGTGATCTTTGCAAGCCATCTGGCTACCATGAGAGATTCGTTCATGAGGCTATCCACATATACAAACACAGAGACAATTTCAACCGAGAAGATGGATTCTGGCTTAGTAATCATTGGAAGGATTTGATAAACCATTTCGGGTCTTAATTGATTGATCACGCTTAAGGTGGCTTTCAGACCGCATCCATTATTTTCCGTCTCCCCCCTCCTCTTTTCCGAACATAAATGGACTCGTCCATCTGAATAACTGCCAAATCTCTCTCTGTGGTGCTAACGTTAAAAAAACGCCACTTTTTTCAAATTTTCTTGTTGTGGTTTTCACACCTGATGATGATTGCTTGTGTTGCAGTCGAAACGCCGTGATAATTTTATTGTTTTATATTTTTCTTATTTTATTGTTTCCCTTCTACGTGGTGACTTTACCGAAAGAACCAAGAATATGATTCCCTGCAGTCACGAAAGCTTTAAATAAATAAAAATAATCATAGGTGCTCTCTAAAAGCACTTGCCCCAACAGTCTGTTAAGGCTATTTGGAGGATCTTTGTCTTTTCCATCTGTGTTGCAGGTGGGGTGCACAGCATGTACGGCCTGGTGCAGCTACTGAGCAAGCTGAACAGGAAGGGGGAAGCAGTCGCACACTGGCTGAGCTTTAGGGGCCTCTTGGACGGTGACAGGCAGATTAATCCCAAGGGACAAAGTCTCACGGCTATTCCTGACCTGTAAGCCAATTGTTTGATTTCTTCATTAGAATTTTATAAGTTCAAATTACTTATAATTTTGAACTTGTTGCAGTATTACTCCTTACATGCATTCACACATAAAGCCATCTTGAAATGTATCACGATGTTCTTCTCGGGCGACTTAGCCACAGGATTGCCATGCGTTGACTTTGCATCCAATTATGAATAATCATTAGTGCATAATACAGGTTTTTTTGGGTTAGATCGCTTAAATATATAAATGTGTCACTGAACCCACCACCACCCGACACAGCCAACTAGTAAGGGTTGTCACGTAAACAGAACGTGGCCAATTCGTTACCAGTACAGCACACCGGTGTGTTGGAGAGCAAAGCCCACAACATTTACAATCTGAATATGCCGATTCGCCAGTAATTACAACTAGCTTCATCAGGCGACAGCCACAAATCTTACTAATTGGCTGTGTCGGGTGGTGGCGGGTTTAACGACACATATATTTACGCGATCTAACCCAAAAAAAACATGTGTTACGGATGATATTGGTCGCGAAAGCCTATGCAGTAATAAGTGCATTGAACAAAACACTACGATTACTATAGAAGCAGCCGATTGCGCCTCTTAACGGGTCGCTTCAAATCCTTGTGCCTAACAAATGAGCGACATTCGACGATTCTGGCAGTGGGCCCTACAACTACGTGCCAGAGCAAGCGAAGGTGCCGAGTGAGGGAGAGCTGCTGGAGCTGGACCGGGACTTCTTGCTGCGCTGGGACGGCTACAGCTCGGAGGAGCGGAAAATCCTGCGCACGTTGGCTACCGGATTGTCGCCGTTGTCCAACTAAGCGCAAGTTATTCTCATACGTCTACTTCCTGCTGCTAGACAAGGGCGTGGGAGCCCTTGAGCAGTGGGTCACGTGAGGTTTGTGTAAATGCATGCGATTGAATGAGAACGTGATTGTGTTATTACTGGACTGGCAGAGCCCCGCTGATACATAGTAAAACGGCACGTCAGTGTCCGTACAGTTTAATGCCGCGTCCTTTAACGACATAAAAGCTCATTGACATTCGTTACAAGCAACACCTAGATATCCGTTCTTGCACAGAGACACTTGCGATAACAAGTTGGGGCACATCAGCATTTTACGTAACAAGTGAGACATTTCAACTGCAGCAGGGCGATTGAAGTCGTCATCTGTCTGAAATTCCACACCATTCCGATAGGGTTATGTAAACTCCCACCCCATGGGCGGGGAGGGGCAACGGAGGGCAGTGAACAACCGAACCGAAGTGCGAACTTGTGCCCGTTGCCGCTTTGCAGGTAGGTATTCGAGTTAGCAATTAAATGTCCACATGATAAGCCACTTTGTTGAGCTATCATTTGTGGCCCGGTTGCTTCTGAAAAATAAATTAATAGTTCAGTTGGCTTGACCTGGTAAGATTAAAAAAAAATGTTTACTTTTATATTTTTTAAGCGATGTGTTTACCTTTCCTATACTCTGCACCCCTTTTGTGTTTTTGTATTTTTGTGTTTGTAACGTTCTGATCCGCCCCTACTGGACATCTGTGAAAAATAGCTTTATAGCTCATCGGATTCCTCCAGTATAAATAAATATTCTGATTCTGGCAACATGTGTCCACGTGTCTATGCTCATGTGTCTAAGCTCCTTGTCTTCACCCACCCGCCGTGACCAGTGTGGTGATGTTGTGTTAACACAGATAACCTGCACCAGTGAATTTACAAAAGGGCTGTATGTGTATATGCTGTGAGTGACTGCATATGTTGTTGGTGACTGCTTGTGGGTGTATGTCCATGCACCTAGCCTGGCACGAGTGCCGTGGTAACGCTACAACCACCACTTGGTGGCGAATGGTGGTTGTTGTATGTGTGTGTGCAGGTGAGACGTGACATCCGCGTTATGAACTGGGTGTCATTGTGGTTGTCTGTGGTTGTGTATGGCGATTCTTTGCTATTTCTCCAAAAAACACCACATCGTGGTCGCTAAAGAATTCTATCTGGTCAGTTCCCCTTGCAGCAAGGAGTGCCGGAGCAGTCTTAAGTTATCTCTGGATTACTTTTAAAAAGTGCTCTTAGCAGGGGTAGTATGCTTCAAGTTTCCTCAATGTTTTATTTTCCCTAGTGACAGTTTCATAGCGGAATGTTGCACAAGGAAACCATTTATAATAAGCAGCTGCTGGGAATTTCCAAAGGAAACATCATTTTGGAAATTAAAAATATGTCTGTAGCATGTGTCATCTCCGGGAGATGATTTAAAACTGGGTTTGAACAAATTTTAATGGCTAAAGGTGCAAATAAGTATTGTAAAGCATTTATTTTGAGAGGATTTTTTCCCCGAGGAAACCCTCATTTAGTTAATGACTTTTTCAGTAGGGGCCTCCCAAATTTTTGTTTGCAGTTGAGGGGGGGGAGATGATTGCTTTGTATATTCCAACTTATTTCCGGGTCATTTAATTCGGCAAATGTTTACCTTGACGCCGGCACACAATGACCTAACCCTTGCGAATGACGTCACGGGATCTTTAACGTCCACAGCGAAACAGACGGCACGTTTTTCTTTACGGTTAATACACCCGCCACATTAATAATCGGGGAGGCCTCTGGATTCGAACCGTGAACCTCTGCAAACAAGCGGCGTACGCGCTCCCGCTATGGCCACGTGGCCGCCCGACCACGAGTACACTGGGGGAGGATGGAGATTCAGAGTTTACGTTAAAAACAAGAATCGGAGATAGTCGTTCGGGTAACTGCAAAGCGAAAGTGTTATTAACGGGAATGTTCTCACTGTGAATCAATGGGATGTCCGAGTGTTCATGGCAGGATATCCAAGGTGACTCGATGCAGAGGGAAGGGTTTGCCGTATCTGTTCGGCGAATGGCCCCTTCAGCGCGTGCTGATGGTATGGGGGGACAGTAAGGGAAAACTGTTCTTGCTGGTATGTTGTATGTATGTGGGGAAATGGGGAATGTTTGGGTATGTGAATGGGGGGTGGGGGGTTAAGAGTTGGGGGAGGAGGCTTGGGAGGTTGGAGGACAATTGCCGGGCAAGGCGCAGGAAGGTTTTTAGAGAGGCGACTTGTGCTCCGTGTATTTCCTGGTCCACGTAATTTGTTTTTGTGATACAGTAAAACGTTTTGTGTAAACTTGGTATCCTGTCCGAGGTCTCTTGTTCAAGAGTCTGGCTTCAGTTAAACAAACATGAGCAAACATGGGACCCTTGTTTCAATGTAAAGTAGTGGTGTCCCACACTTTTTATAACGTCTTTTTCACTTGCAGAGTGTGTCCCTGCCCGCTTGCGCACCGCCCAGTTCTGGAATGTGGGTCACGTCATGAGCAATGGTTTTCACTTGGGGGAATTGCAACATTCTCCAACTTGGCACTTCGCCCCCTTCACACTGCCGAGCGTATGGATTTTTACGAGGCAGCTCGTTCTGGCACGAGCGTTCCACGCGAAAAAAGACTTGGCAGAAGCTCCATCACAGGGACTGTCCCGGTGTCACGAGGACTCCTTGTTAAGATCGGGATTTTGCCTCGGCGTAAAATGCTCTGGCCTCATGATACGTGTGTATGCTTGGACTTCTTTCGCACCGTACGTAGCCTGACCGCCCTAATAGGTGCGGGGGAAGGCCATATGACGGGGCTACTACCCAAAGCACAGTGCAATAGTGTGCGATGCGAGGAGTATGTCATCGTCAACGACGAACCAGTTCCTCGTGGAATAAACACACCCGGGAGTTTGTTCTTCGGCGCCGTGACCGGGCCCCTCCCCACCACCCCTGCTCATCAGGTTCTGAACCAGCCAGGGGCTTCCCTCCCCTCCGTCCGAGTGCAGCGGGGCCCTGCACAGGTGAGAGGCAGGAGGAGGCTTTGCACCACTTGGGGCCGGGGTCCGTGCTGCAAGAAGGACGACCCCTGACCAAGATTTAGCGGTGCCTAGCCGTAAGCGGACACGCTAAATAGCACTGCGTTGCAGAGAATAGGTACATAATGGGTGACCTTTTTGGGTAATGGCCCTGAATTCAGAGCACACAGACCCGAGGTAGAGTGATCGAAACGTCGCCTATTATATAACTTTTAAGGCAGTGTTCTTGGCAAATGTGAGTTCCTTTGTTATTTGTGTGCTGTGCTGCCCGGCCAACGCTATACCTTATAACATGGGAACTTTTTACCAAATATTTTGCTATATAATAAGCGGAGCTTTGGGGGGCGGGGGGCAGGGTTGACTGGAGTGGGCGGGGCCAAATTAGCTTGGGGGCGGGGCCAACCGGTGGGGGCAGGGGCCCAGCCAACGTTAAGTTCGCTAGCGGGCAGGCTTATACTGGTAGGAACCTCCTGGTTCCACCAGCCCACAGGGGATTATTGTGTCCGTCCGTCTGTCGTGCATCCAAAAATGGGAGGGTAGGGCTGGGTGGGGGGTGGGAGGGGTGGGGCTGGGTGGAGAGGGGAGGGTGGGGAGGGGCTGGGTGGAGAGGGGAGGGTGGGGAGGGGCTGGGTGGGGAGGGTGGGGCTGGATGGGGGGTGGGAGGAGTGGGGCTGAGTGGGGAGGGGCTGGTCACCCCGTGGTGCCCTTATAAAACTCAACGTTTAACCTACTCACGCCAGCTTGTGCCCGCCCTCACAGTCGGGCATATTGTGTGGAACACACCACGCCGCCGTTGACCCTGGCCATTGACCGAGCAACCCAACGTTCCGACCAGCTCCCTCCGCAGGAATGTGTTTGGGGTATACTCTTTGGTTCTTTCGGTAAAGTCACGTAGGTATACAATAAAATATTGGGGTATTTTTCAAAAATGTTCTTTCATAAACCGCAAGCGTTCAAAATGTCAACGTGCTGTTTAAGACCGAAACAGGTGGAGGATTTATTCACAGAATCTGGCATTCGCCTGATGATGCTGCTTGTAATTACTGGCGAAACGTCACGGTACTCGAATTGTAAATGTTGTGGTGGGTTTTACTCTCCCAACGCACCGGTTCTTGCTGAACGTGGAACGAATTGGCACCTTTTGTTTACGTGACGAACCTTACGACGGGTTTAACTACATATTTACGCGATCTAACCCCCAAAAAACACCTCTGTTATGGATATTTGTCGCGAAAGCCTGCGTATTAAACAGTACAATTTATTTAAATTGGCTTCAGTACAAACAAAAAAAATCCCACGATTTTTTTACTTCGTCAGTCAACGCGATTCCCTTGCTCAAGTGAGCATTGAGGCCTGTTTACAGCCCCAATAAAATTGGTGACAATTCCATATCCACGTGGCGGGAGGAGAGGCATTCCATGGGACAACCACTGTGGACTACCTCCACAACGTGGTGCTAACATTCATAGGCATTGTTGCTGTATTGGCATTGTTGCTGTATTGGCATTGTTGCTGCATTGGCAGTCGTGCACCGCACGTGCTCCTGGTGTTGTTGGTACATTTGGGCTATGCCCATCCCCAAATCTTTATTAACAGTTTCCCTTTAGAGACTGACCCCCTTTGCCTGATGACGACCGCTTGTGTTGCGATCGAAACGTCGTGAGAGAGGGTGAGTGAGACGTGGAGAGGGTGAGTGGGACGTGGAGAGGGTGAGTGAGACGTGGAGAGGGTGAGTGAGACGTGGAGTGGGTGAGGGTGAGTGAGACGTGGAGTGGGTGAGGGTGAGTGAGACGTGGAGTGGGTGAGGGTGAGTGAGACGTGGAGTGGGTGAGGGTGAGTGAGACGTGGAGTGGGTGAGGGTGAGTGAGACGTGGAGAGCGAGAGATGGAGTTGGGTGAGGGTGAGTGAGACGTGGAGCGAGTGAGTGTGATAGGAGTGGCACGGGGAGCAGTGAGGGATGGACACGTTTTTTTATCTTTTATCTTCTTTACCTACGAGACTTTACCGAAAGAACCAGAGTATGGATCCTTGCAGTCACGAAAACTTCAAATCTGTAATTAATGGGGGTACTCCGTTCATGGTGTTTACAGAGGCCGAAGGAACGCGAGCCACGTGCCCACGTTGACTTCCAAGGCTAGAGACGACGTCATTCGAACAGAGGCCGAAGGAACGCGAGCCACGTGCCCACGTTGACTTCCAAGGCTAGAGACGACGTCATTCGAACAGCTGATCAGAGTTCGCACGCAGTCATGAGTTGGGGCATGAGCTGTAAAGTTGTATTCATTTTTTTTAATTAAAACAATGTGGTTACACAACGCTCTACCCAGTTCCGTTTTTTTACATTTATTTACGGTTTTGTAGCAATAATTTTAATTCACTGACAAAATATATTGCAACCGGGCTGATATAAGTGTGTTGCCAGATCTCATTGATAAAGATAATTACAGATATCACTGCAACATTTGGGGAGTAAAATAACATGACCGGTGACGTTCTGAAAGCAGTGAGCTTTAAAACTTGCACGAGGAGCACAACGCACACGGAGAGATAACGCCCACAAGTAACAAAGTTCACTTCGAAATCCGCTCCGTGAGCACAAGGGTCTAGAGATCAACCCCCCTTGATCCGACACCGACGTGCGGCTCGGGACGGATGAGGGAATGGCAAAATCGGCACAGTTTTTGGTGCATGTTAAAATTCTTTCGCACCGTACGTAGCCAACCGCGCTAATCGGAGGTGCGGTGGAAGGACAACAAACATATACACACACACACAAAGCACTTCTAAAGAAATACGTTTTCAATCTACATCACTTAAAATGCGTAGCTCCAGTGGCCTCCTAATATCGGAAGGGAAGAGCATTCCAGACGGCCGCAGAAGCGCATCTGAAAGCTGGGGGAGGCGGTGAACGCCGCCTTTGTTCGACGGCGAGCAGCCAAAATCCGCTGACACGAGAATGGACGGAGTTCGCGTGATGGTTTGTGCTCCTTGACGGAGATCATGAAAGCTGAATTAATTCAAATTCTAAATAGCCATTTGCAGCAATTAAAGAATCGAAACGCAACCATTGGTTCAATCATTATTTCAACGCCTGTGCTCTGTGTCGTCTATTAAGACTTATTGTTGATTTTATTGACTACGTATCTTCTGCTATTCGTTGCGCCCGGTTGCGATTTACAGTAAAACCTTGGATTGCGAGCATAATTCGTTCCGGAAAAGTGTTTGTAATCCAAACCACTCGTATATCAAAACGCTCGTATATCAGTTGTGATCAAGTGACGCTCGGCAGACAAAGCGTGTATACGTACTACTACTCGTATTACAAGACCTCACTCGTTTATCAAATTCATATTTATTTTTTAAAAATTTGCTTGTCTTGCAAAACACTCGCAGACAAAGTTACTCACAATCCAAGGTTTTACTTTATTTTGCCCAGTCGGTGTTAGCCGCCGAGGTCTTGACGGGGCTCTGTTTAAATTTTGATTTAAAGCTTTCGTGACTGCAGGGATTTATATTCTTGGTTCTTTCGGTAAAGTCACGTAGAAGGGAAATAATAAAAATGTTTTTTTTTTTAAAGAAAGAACCAAGAATATGGGTCTGTGTTATGCCCTGTCGCCCCGTGAAACATGCGTTTAGATGATTTGGCTGCTATAAATGTCCACGCACGTGATAAGCCACCTTTGGTTGAGCTATCATTTGCGGCCCAGGGCGCTTCTAAACAAAGAAGCTATACAGCTCAGTGGGCCTTACCTGGTAAAATAAAAGTAAAATTTTTAAAGTCACGTTCTTACCCTTCCTATGCTTTGCACTCCTGACGTGTTTTTGTGTTGTTTGTTGTTGTTGTATCGTTCTGACCCGCCCCGACTGGAAATCTTATTTTAAAAAAGAGCTTCATATCTCATCGGATTCCTCCAGGATAAATACTTCTTCTGATTATCTGCCCCCCCTTGTACCGTTCTGCTGCACTGATGCTCACTTTATTGAGGGCAATAAAATAAAGATTTATTGATTGATAAACGAGAGAAATCGATATTAATGGGAGCATTTAAATTTAGATTTAAATTTTGATTTAAAGCTTTCGTGACTGCAGTAATTCATTTACTTAGTTCTTTCGGTAAAGTCACGTTGAAGGGAAACAACAAAATAATAAAATATATATAAAACAATAATGGGAGCATCTTTATGTGCCCTGCTGGTGTAGAGCCAATTAAGTGGGGGGGGGGGATGTGGGGGGGCTGTTTTTGACGATGCGATCACTCAAGACATAGTTATTGATGGGCATGGCTAGATTATAGTGGGCGGGGTTATCGATATTGTGGGCGGGGTTATCAAACATACGGGCGGGGCTATGCGCGTTGTGGGCGGGGTCACGTCGGAGGGGGGGGCGGCAATGTTATTTGTGGGCGGTGCTGGAGCGAGAATCGGGAGGCGCGTGGCGCTGTAGACGCGGCAAGTGGGGAGGAGGCGATGGTGGTGGAGGCGCGACTCGTACAGTCGTAGTAGTAGTAGTGGTGGAGGAGGAGGCGGTCCGACCCCGGAGCCTCCGCATGCCGCCCTCTTATAAAACACGACGAGCGGGAGATTAATGCTGGAGGCAGACAGGCAGGCAGGGCAGGGCAGGGCGGGCACGCAGAAGTACAAGAAGCGGACAACAGACGTCAACAAAACAACACAGAGAGACGGGGGTTTCACACTACCACCGTAATTCCACTCCCCACCCCCCACCGACCACCGCCAACCAAGCCATGGAGGAGAGTGACGAGGGCGGCGGAGGCGGCGGCGGCAGAGGCGGCGGCAGTAGCAGCAGCAGCGTGTACCAGGACTCGGGCGAGGAGGAGGCCCCGCCGGCCGTCTCTGCCCGGGTGTCGGGCATGGCGGAGGGCGTCTACCGCGAGCTGGAGCGGCTCATGGGCGAGCACGGCGAGGCGGTGCTGCGCGACCTCGTGCCGCTCGTGGTCGGCGTGCTCGAGGCCCTGGACGCGGCCGCCTCGCAGGGCCAAGAGCGCCAGGTGGAGCTCGAGCTGCTGCGGGAGGACAACGAGCAGCTGCTCACGCAGTACGAGCGGGAGCGCACGCTGCGCAGGCAGGCCGAGGAGGTGAGGGGTGGAGTGGTGGGTGAGCGGTGAGACGTGGTGAGGGTGAGCGGTGAGACGTGGTGAGGGTGAGAGAGACGTGGTGAGGGTGAGGGAGACGTGGTGAGGGTGAGAGAGACGTGAGGGTGAGGGAGACGTGGTGAGGGTGAGGGAGACGCCGTGGTGAGGGTGAGGGAGACGCCGTGGTGAGGGTGAGGGAGACGCCGTGGTGAGGGTGAGGGAGACGCCGTGGTGAGGGTGAGGGAGACGCTGTGGTGAGGGTGAGGGAGACGTGGTGAGGGTGAGTGAGACGTGGTGAGGGTGACGTGGAGAGTGAGACGTGGTGAGGGTGAGGGAGACATGGTGAGGGAGACATGGTGAGGGAGACGTGGTGAGGGTGAGTGAAACGTGGTGAGGGAGACGTGGAGAGTGAGACGTGGTGAGGGAGACATGGTGAGGGTGAGGGAGACATGGTGAGGGTGACTGAGACGTGGTGAGGGTGACTGAGACGTGGAGAGTGAGACGTGGTGAGGGTGAGTGAGACGTGGAGAGTGAGACGTGGTGAGGGTGAGTGAGACATGGAGTGGGTGAGGGTGAGTGAGACGTGGTGAGGGTGAGTGAGACATGGTGAGGGTGAGGGTGAGTGAGACGTGGAGAGGGTGAGTGAGACATGGAGTGGGTGAGGGTGAGTGAGACGTGGAGTGGGTGAGGGTGAGTGAGACGTGGAGTGGGTGAGGGTGAGTGAGACGTGGAGAGGGTGAGTGAGACATGGAGTGGGTGAGGGTGAGTGAGACGTGGAGTGGGTGAGGGTGAGTGAGACGTGGAGTGGGTGAGGGTGAGTGAGACGTGGTGAGGGTGAGTGAGACGTGGAGTGGGTGAGGGTGAGTGAGACGTGGTGAGGGTGAGTGAGACAAGGTGAGGGAGACGTGGAGTGGGTGAGGGTGAGTGAGACATGGAGTGAGTGAGGGAGAGTGAGACGTGGTGAGGGTGAGTGAGACGTGGAGAGGGTGAGTGAGACGTGGAGTGGGTGAGGGTGAGTGAGACGTGGAGTGGGTGAGGGAGAGTGAGACGTGGAGTGGGTGAGTGAGACATGGAGTGGGTGAGGGTGAGTGAGACGTGGAGTGGGTGAGGGTGAGTGAGACGTGGAGTGGGTGAGTGAGACGTGGAGTGGGTGAGGGTGAGTGAGACGTGGAGTGGGTGAGGGTGAGTGAGACGTGGAGAGCGAGAGATGGAGTTGGGTGAGGGTGAGTGAGACGTGGAGCGAGTGAGTGTGATAGGAGTGGCACGGGGAGCAGTGAGGGATGGACACGTTGAGACGTGGAATAGAGTGAGATGGAGTGACTGAGAGATGGACACGTTGAGTGAGACACGGAGTGTGTGTGTGCTATAGGAGTGAATAGAGGCCTCGTAGGGGGTGGCAGTGTGTGAGAGATGGAGTGATATAGGTAGAGAAGAGGGGGGACTGAGCGGGTGTGAGACCCCGGTTGGGATGTGGGGTAATGGAAGTGAGAGGTGAGGGAGAGGAGAGTGAGTGAGATAGAGAAGGGTGCCGAGAAGGAGCTTCCCTGCAGGGGTTGAGGTGGTGAGATGTGGAACGAGGAGGGAGAGATGGAGTGCTTTACAGGTGATGGATCGGCGTGGTAGGACAGAGAGACTTTCATAGTTTCATTTATTTGGTATAGCCCTGTGAGCCATTCGGCTCTTGAATCGGGTGCAACTGCAACAAACAAACAAAAACATGAACAAGAAAACATCTTAAAGTGACTTTGTGCATGTGCAAACAGAAAATCCAGGAAAAAAACCATAAAAATATTCCTGAAATAGCACCGTACACCAACGCTGCGTGCAAAAATCCCAGTGGGATGCAAGTCAAACAACAACAAGAAAACTTAGATTTAGAGAACGTGCAGGATGAGAGATGGAGTGACGGGTCTGTGTGAAGGACAGATTAAGAGATCTTGTTGCCCTCTTGAGTGGAAGCCGTCGAGAAACGGGGATTGTGGGGACAGGGTGACGGGAAGAAGTGGATGAAAGTGAGTTCAGAATCAGAATATGTATTTATACTGGAGGAATCCGATGAGCTATAAGCTCTTTTTCACAGATGGCCAGCAGGGAGGGATAGGTGAGAACGTTACAGCAAACATTACACAAATACGATAGGAGTGCAAAGTATATGAAAGGTAAACACATCGCTTAAAAATATATACAAATAAAACGAAACGATGTTTTACCTTACTCAGGTGAGGCCCACTGAGCTCTATTAGCTTATTTTTCGGAAGCGACCTGGCCACAAATCGTAGCTCAACGAAAGTGACTGATCGCGTGCGTAAATATATAGCAGCCAAATATTGCAACTAATCTAGAAGATATCGCAGAGTGTGCAGACGGAGGAGTATTTTAGAGATGGCTTGTGAACTATGAGGAAGTCGAGAAGACGATTAGAATGCCCCTCTTATCCAGAAAATCCTGTATGCAAGTTTGTTGAACTTCTTTCACACCGTACGTAGCCAACCGTGCTAATCGGAGGTGCTGAATCACTGTGTTTACACGCTTTCATTTAACTCAACCTGTCGTACATATGAATAAACTGTCAAATCGCTCTCCGTGGTGCTAACGTTAAAATAACAGCCACTTTTTTCAAAATTTATTGCTGTGGTTTTCACACCTGATGATGATTGCTTGTGTTGCAGTCGAAACGTCGTGAGAATTTTATTGTTTTATATTTTTTATTATTTTATTGTTTCCCTTCTACGTGACTTTACCGAAAGAACCAAGAATAGCTGTCTGTTGTCGTATCTTCAAATCTTGTAACTCAATTTTAACCCACTTCCCAATGTGGTATCGACTGCAAACTTGGTATACTTAAGTCATACTGATGCCAATACTATATTCTATCATTAAAAATAAATATTTTTTAAAACATTTTTTTATATGTTATGTTTTGGCTTGGGTTTAATTGTCCACGCTCAACTCACGTTGGCTGTAATTGCCCACGGTCCCCTTACGTTATGGCAAGCTTCGGGGTCACTTCCTGGAGTCTTGCCATTACTAGTACGGTACATTTCATTAAAGCGTGTTTACATTTTTTAAAAAAATATTACTTTTTATGTCAGGAGGATCTTACGTCGTGATGTTTGTTTTGGCCAATTCTGATCGTGATTGTTGAGGTCAGATTCGACGGCGGGGGGGGGTGTTGGGCAGGGCGAGCAGACGTGGTGGGGTTGGTGGGGGGGATCCTTGAGAGGTGTGAGTGAGGTTCAACACAAGGTGACTCTCAATCCGAGAACGTGGACAGATGGAGAGAGACTTGTACGGTTAATGCACGTGGCACGCGCGAAGTGAGAGTAAGAGGGGGGCAACACAGGCTCAGGAGAGACAGGAAGACACTGCTGCCTTTGTTTCACTTCAAAGTCGTTCATGCTTACGTGTGTGTGTGTCACAGATGTGCGTCGGCATGTCACGTGCTCACCATTGCTTCACGTGTTGTCGCTTTCAAAGACTGCAACTGCTGTACAGCTGGTTTTTTTTGTAGCTGACGCTGCATTACGAAGACGTTTCAATCACTTGCGACCAGCAGCTTATTTAAATCGCTTGCAGGTATATGTGTATCTATGCAAGTATATACTTGCAAGTATAGACTTTCAAGTATATATGTGTATATATACTTGGATATATATCACATATATATATATCACATACACTTGCAGATATATATATAAATCACCTAAATCACTTGCGACAAACATAATATTTTTAAAAGTATATCGGCACCTTTGCAGACTTCCTCATTCATAGCTGTTGACAGTGATTTTTTTTTAGAAGCCGGTTTCAGAGTTGTTGGTGACAAGTGATTAATCCGTAACCGTGAGAATCCAGAACAAATATTCTCCAGCAAACAAATCGGAACAAATATTTTTTGTTGTTGTTGAGATTTGTTTGCTGGAGAAGGTAGTTGTGTGCCCTGGTGGCAGCGTTTGCATTGCTTCGTTGTCAGCAATGTTGCTGGCATGGGAAAGGCAGCGGTGTGCCTGGTTTGGTTTTTGTCGTGACTTTTGTGGCCTTTCACGTCCATGCTGTGGCCTCGGCGTGTGGCATTGGTGTGGACGTGCGTTTGTGTGTGGGCTTTGGATAATCTCTCTTCGTGGCTTATAAAATGTATAGTAATGTGGGCAACACACCCGCATGTTATACCAATGAGCAAATCTCGGCACCTCTGATTAGCACGGTTAGCTGTGTACGGCGGCGAAAGAAGTTCAACATGCATACTTAAATGGATTTATGGTCGTGCCTTTTCCAGAATCGATTGTATTGGTGTACTCGGCACGAGCCGCTAGGTACCCAGTGACTTGTAGACACACACCAACAGTATAATCATTAATCATAATGTTGATTGTGAAAGCCTATGTATGAAATCAACAGCAGTCTCTTGGTATCTGATTTTAAATCACGGTTGCTGAGCACAGACCCAAAGTTCCAAATGACTAAGCGACCAGCAACAAACAGCACTTTTGAAGGTTTAATAATTGTTAATAAGTAATAGTTAATACTTCTACACGGCAAAGTAAACACGCAGCTATATTTGCTGTAGAGCAGTAACAATACATTGTAAATCGAAGTACATTGAAGAAAATTTAATCGACAGTACTTGGCATTTCTGGAGTGGGGAATACCGAACTTTACAGGGAAGGTGGCTTCCATGTTGTCTGTATGTATGTTGAACTTCTTTCGCACCGTATGTAGCTAACTGTGCTAAACGGAGGTGCGTGCACATGGAAGCCACTCCTGGGAGTGCACTGTAGGTTAAATAAAGTTGGTTTCATCCAATTCTTTAACCCGGATTCTGTGTAGCAATTCAGCAAATTAAGTATTAAGGCACGGAGAGATGAAATGTTTGGAATTACATTTACAGCCATAAAGCGGAACACGTGGATGAGGGGAACAGGTGCAGGTGAATGGCATCATTCAAACTTTGATTTAAAGCTTTCGTGACTGCAGTGATTCATATTCTTGGTTCTTTCGGTAAA